ATAGTATCGATCCCCTAATATGCAAACCTGCTGAACATTTCAGAAAATTTTGACAAAAAGCACGGGAGTTATTAAGCGTCAAAGTGAATGCACAAAATCGTGTCCTCCTCTTTTCGACTCAATTCTGTGGGTGAAATGTCGCTTCGGCTGGAATTAAAACGAAATGTTCGCTCGTCCCCTTTGCGATGAAAATTCGCCAATTAATAAACCGAGTTTAAAATTTCTTCCCAATTATTAGCTAAGTAGAACTTTTATGAACATTGTTTCTCTTTATTTTTCGTATTTTTCCGAATATTTATTATAATTAAAAAATATTAATCTCGAAATATATTTTAAAACGTCACAAAAATGTGACGGCGTTTTAAAAAAATATAAAAAGTAGTAGTAATAAAACTATAATGAAAAAAAATCCAGAAACGAGTCGCCTAACTTCGATAATAGTGGTGGGTAAGAGATTTTAGTTAAAAATAACTTTTATATTATTAATCATAAAAAATTGTGTGTTGCGCCGTCTGTTACGAGATTTTGTTATAAAAACATTTTATATTGTTAATTATTATAATAAGGCAAAAGGCTTAATTTTCGGAGGAGGGATGAGTTTCATTTACAATTTTGTAAATGCCAATAATATGTAAAATTATCGTTAAATCCGACCTCTCGAGATATGATACGTGACACATCCCTAGCTTTCATCTCTTCGGCCTTTAACCACCAAAATTTAATAGCATCAATGCAGCTTACATACAAGTTACTATGCCAAATTTCGTCTTTTAATCTTTACTTCATCCTGAGATATTAAACTAAACAGATGTAATAAAGTGTACTGGAGTGGTGGCGATACAGAAATTTGAACTTTCCGGGCGTCCGGACGGCCTTTAATTATCGCTCTTGACGAAAATGGGTGGTCGGGCGACGTGCACAATTCGATTTTATTTCCGTCCGGTTTATAATTGCGTATTGCATCCTACCGCTACGGCAGCTGCTTCGATTAAAGCGTTCTTTTAATTTAAAAAGTGTTTACCTTAACGTATGAATTTAATTATTGTATTTCTGCAATGTCATTGGAATTTTCCGAAGCACGTAGTAATCGGTTGACAAATCGTTGCTTTATTTTGCGCGCGACAATTTCCGGGAAAATTTCCTGCACGTGGGAGGAAAATTCAGCAGAACGCATTAAGCATCCCGGGCCAGGCGTGGATGGTGCTGGATACCGTCCACGAGGACGACTCAGACCGAAGAGAGCATAATTTTTAACTTAATAATTTACGACCGATTGTGCGCAAGAAGGAGTGGATTTCAAAGGGACGCTATTCGTGGAAAATGAAATATCCACCAACTTAATCCAGTCTGTCAGTAAGAAAGCGCGGAATTTTTATTGTAAGTATTATAATAAAAATAAATGCACCCTAAATACCGGTATTTCTATGTCTCGTTTATTTTAATTATACTTATTCTTAATTACAGCTAGAAATAATCAATTAATGTTAAACATTATAACGACGACACTTCCAGAGCGTTGGTCCTGCCCGAAAACATTTCGAACATCTGTACCCATGCCCTTGTCGCGCTCCAATCCTTTCCCCCATTATTTGATTATATCTTCGTTTATTTATTTAGAAAGATGAGGATAATCCGGGCCTTTTCCGGTCCTTTCTAGTCAACCTACCAAATTGACGTCGGATTAAAAGATATACGGTATACTGCGATTAAATGGGACCGCCTTTATTTGTAACATCCATTTAAAAACGAAATAAAGACATAAGGTAAATTTCCTTCTCTTATTTGGGACGTCTTTCCTTCTCTATTGTAAAAATCGAACTACCGGTCCTTTTTATCCTCACTATTAGTCCCTTTCGCCCAAATGCTGGGGCGAAGAACACTGTATAAGATTGTAATTGGATTAAAAAGACCTAAGTTAATAGAGAAGATTTGACAGAACCAGTGGCGTAGCGTGGGTGTCAGCCGCCCGGGACAAAGAAAAATTTCGACCCCCTTATTTAGATATCTCAATTTAAAAGACTAAAATTCAGTTTCGTCAGAGAGTAAGTAATGAGAAATTCCGTGCTAGTGTTTCCACCTTTTTAAAATCGCTGACCCGGACGGCAGGTGAGGTTTGTTCGAACAGAAGTTCCTGACGCATGCGTAATGTCATTTTGCAATGCGTAAAATAATGTGCAGTGCATGTCGGTTCTAAATCAGATAGTGTTAGCGACTAGGGAGACTTGGGTGGGAGTAACGTAAGTAACCTAGATGACGTAACGTAAGTAACAGCTGTATTGGATAAAAATAATAATAAAAAAGTCGACACGTCGCGCACGAAATCCCCGGTGAAATTAGTAGTTCACCCGGACGGTAAGTCGATTCCCGCACTGTCCACTATTTCCGTGCTCATTTCAATCGGTCCGAATCGTAGGTGACTGAAATATGAAATATAGTGGTTCAAATTTTTACAAGATATTATTATTATTTATTGTGAAATTTTGCCGCCCCCACTACTCTACGCCACTGGGCAGAACTATCTTGTCAGAATATAAGCAAATAAACGTATTATGTGTCGGTTACATGCAATCTGATTTTAAGCTATATTAGTAGTAAAGAGCGGCCTTAATATCTTAGGACAGTGGTTCTTAACCTTTTTATACTCGCGGCCCACCAAATATTTCATAATTGTTTAGTGACCTCCATTTTTTAATAATAATTTATATTCGTTAAATTATCTATAATAATGGCGAAGCTTGAAAATCGCGGCGGGCAAAGCCAGCACGAGGGAAAGCAAACGCGTGCTTTCGGCGCTTAATTATATAAACTTAAACACAAAAAAGGCCGTAGTCTCGGCGTGTCAGAACGTAATTTTTCATAGTGGCCAGGAGTTATTTACTCCTTTGCCATCGGAGGTCGGAAACGTCGACCCAATTGAGTACACTTCGGACGAAGCGACGTCACCCAGATAATAAATGGGCGGTTAGGCCCTGTACACACTAGGCGTTTTTCAACGCGCGTTAGCTCGGCGTTCGACGAGCGTTTAGCGGAGCGTGCGCACTGGCTCGGTTTGGAAATGGATGTGGAAGTGATTGCTTGTGTGTGGCTCCTCTATCGTCGCTATAAAAGACGACGGCAGAGGCAAAGAGAATTTTGGGTGCACCCAATATTACGAAATAGACTGACGCATGAAATGTTTGCGACGTTGTATCCAAAACTAAGACAAAATAAATTCAAGTTTTTTAATTCTTTTAAAATATCTATAAAATCCTTTGACGATGGTTGGTCTCTTTTAGATTTCATCAATAAATAGATCAGTATCGAAATGATCGTTCTCCATTTCAGCACATATAACTCAAAGCGCTCGGCTGACGCCCGCAAAACGTGCGATCGCATGTACGGTAACATGGCAGCACATATATCTCAAAGCGCCCGTAAAGCGCTCGCAAAACGCGCGTTTTAACAAAAATCTATAAGCGCTCGCAAAACGCGCGCTTGGCTTTTGAGTGTGTACGGCTACATAGAACTCTTGGTTCTTTTAAACGCGCGTTTAAAAGCGCGCGTTGAAAAACGCCTAGTGTGTACAGGGTCTTACACACAGGCTGGGAGCTTTACGCCTTAAAGTTCATAAACCCATATCGCACTTAATGCTCGGCCAAATTATTGTAAGTGCGAGGGCTCTATGGCACGAGGCATATTTCTTCGTCTAGAACAGCTATTCCCAAACTTTTTCCCTTGTGAGAGAAATGCTTGGAAATATTTCTAACCTCGATCTTTGTGTCCTAGCCGTACATTGTTTTCAACATCCGAAAACAATTAAACGCAAGGTTTTCTTACCCGTTATAACGAAGGAAATAGCAGTCGGTCATACCAACCTTAGCCTATGGTCACCATCCATTGCTCCCTAGATTTAATCGCCGCCCACGAGGGACGATAGTTGACCCATCTAGAACTTTCCATAGTTGTCCGCGTAACTTTAAACTTTATTCGTGCGTCTCATTGTCAAATCCACTTCCTGTATTCTTATGCCATCACTTTCGAAATTTTCTTTACGTTTTCCGACCGGTTCCACGAATTTATGTATTTCAAATATTTTTCGGTCATCGATAACTTTGTAATAGAATATTTTCGCGATAAACTCTATACTCACAGGATGGCTCGCGGTAAGGGAGCCAGATAACAACCCATCGACGAATACGCCAAATTTAGAGAAATTTTATAGAGCGTCGTTTATCCGAAAGCATTCCAATCGGCAAATTTAAATTTTCGTTAGTGCTGTGGCGCTACTATCTTTGGCTATATCTTGGGCTACTCCAATATTTTTTTGTGGGTGTGTGTATTTTAGCTGGCAGCACTGGCACTTTGGTGGTGTTTTTTTGATACTAAATCAACTTTTAAGGTATCTTTTTTTTGTTTTTATATTTTTTAATATATTTATTTTATTTGTACAAAATAAAAAAAAAAATTTTTAACGATACAATAGCCACGATTATTATTTTAAGTTTTCGTTAGGCTTAACATCGACGAAAATTCAACGCGCAGCGACACGCAACAGAGAAAAATTTCAACACGGGATAGCTCAAAATATTTTTTCGTACATAATCGGTTATCCGAACAACCCAATTGATTCGGATAAACGACGCTCTACTGTACTCTGTAAATCATTGGGCTTGTATTAATAGATGAGTAATCGAAGCGAAGTCATGCAATAACGGATTGCTAAATATTAAAATTTAAGGGTTAGCCCGTAACCACAACTCCCGCTCGAATACTCGCGTGGTACTCTTATGGCAAATTCAGACCGCGGCCGTTCCAAAACATGGAAGAAAACCGATAGAAACTTCATTTTTACGTGGTTAAAATCGGTACGCGCATACTTAGGCAAAGATCGGAAAAATGACACTAGTGGGAAGGCGGGCGGTCCACCCGGTGGACACTGACCAGAATAATAAATGCCAGGTTTAAAATTCAAATGCATTTTAATACAGTTTATCATAATTATAAAAATTAAACAAACGGAGTAACTATTTATTGTTTATTTAGACAAGTGATGCAACCATCGAAAATAACTGTAAAAAAATTATAAAACAGTAGCCACAAATGAAAACAATATGATAATCGGATGAAAAATAAGCACGCTCGTTTCGAATCATTGCACCGATCGATTCCGTGAAGACTTTGGTAAGAACGACACAGTTTATACACGAGTTCGGCAAACACCTTTGGTTACTTTCGAACGGAAACAATTTATATTGTACAATTAACACCGAAGTCCAACGGTCGAATTTTTCCATGCAGTGATAAAAAGAAATCTTTTTTTCGTTTTGCTACATGCGGAGTATAAAAAGTTCCTCGGAGAAATTTTTCTTTTAATTTATTATTAAACTCTGAATTGGGAAAAAGCTACTATGCGTTCTTCAAACAACATTTCGACATTTCCACATGGCACTGTAACCGAGTACCGACCTATGGATCGGCGCAGTTAGCGTGGAAACGATTAAAGGCCCCAGAGCTGTTTATGCGGAGAAGGCATCACCAAAGCTCACAGAGGAACTGGTGCTCAGCTGACGGCCACTGTTAACTTTAAGAAGGGATTAACCTATTGTTGCTTACATTCTGGAGGTGGTTGCTGTTGAGACTTCTTTCCAGATTTCACGGCCTGTAAAAGAAATATACATTTAAATACTCTCTTCGTTTTCGTTTTAGCCCGCCGTTTTCGACCTATATTCGCTCAATACCGTTCGATACTTAAAAGTGTCCGTTGCGCGAAAAGGATATTTCGTCGATAATCCCCGAAAGGACGATTTGTGTATTAAGTCATCATTTGCTTCTTAGTTGAAATGTAGCTTTATTTTGAACAAACTCGTGTCGAAATGTGACCTAAATTGTAGGTTTAAATTAGTTTAAACTATCCCGTAATCTTTGAAATGTGTGAAACATTTCACAGAATCTGATGCACGTTCCAGAATCTCTAGTATAATATGATTGTAATTATATTTAATTTTTGTGAAATAAACATTTTGCTATTAAACTTATCAAATTAAAAAATCATATTTCAAAATAAATTTCGTAAGGTTGATTTCTTACAAAACATTATGTACTACTAAATAAATTTTAAACCTAAACAGTTTTCTAACTCCAAAATGAATCCAATATAAACACAGAAAAGAAAAATTTCAAATTAATAAATATTTAAAACTCCAAAACTGAACTTTATGGAATTCCTTCAATTGGGATTTTATGAAATTCAAAAACTGATCAAATTAGAGAAAGTAATCCACTGAATCACTCTCTATAATCTGAATATCCAAACCTTATTACTTCCAGTTTAATAATAATAAATATTAAGATTAGAAAATGAAAGTAAACTAATTTTACACAACATTCTAACGTTATAGTAAAGCTTAGTTCACAGTCAGCACAAAAGCAGAAAACAGAGCAAATAACCATTCAAACATGACTGGTTTGACGGGTTATTCCAGTGTTTCCAATGTGGGACCCACGCCCCACGGGGGCCATTCGAAAATGGACTCGTCCAGAGTTTAAGTTAATCGTATACCTGTTGTATATGTTAGGGGGCATAAGAATTTTAGAAAGGCTTAGGTGGGGCATAGCACAAAAAAGGGTTGGAAACACTGGGTTATTCGCTCTGTTTTTCATTTTCAGACTCAGTGTGAACTAAGCTTAAGGGCCTTGTGAAACTCAATATACAGTATCACCGAGATTAAAAAAATTTCTTAATAAATTTCACTTTAAAAATCGATAATGTTGCACGAGATTTGACAACCTCAACAGATTACATGATCTAAGAAATCCATTGTATGATATGTCGTAACCAATATCACATTAATTAATTATTAAATGCATTATTAACATTGGAGCAGTTTGTTATCGTTCATTTTGCTTCCATAATGTTTTAAAATTAATTAATAGGTACAATAATAAAAATATTTGCAACTAATTGTCCCAGAACTACCATATTTACAGAATTATAAAAATTCTATCAGATTGTAAAGGTGAAATTTAGACATTGATTTTTCTTCTATAAATGTTCTAGAATCTAGAACATTCAATGTGGGTATATAAGTAGAGTAATTGGGAGACATTTCATATATTTTGTTGAAAATAGATGTATCCACAACTAACACCCAACGATATGAAACTTTTGAAAACTGCATTTGCATGCAGTTGCTCTATCACTTCAAAAGTGGTCACGAATGCAAGGAAGGCTTGCAATCTAGTCTAAATCATTTTGCTAGGATGAGGTTGACGGACAAATCAGCTGTAACTGGTTTGAGAAATTCAGGGGACGGATATTTCTTGCTTCGAGTTATTCTACCACCGATGACATTCTCCTGATAGATCTGTTGTTAATTACCACAAAATATTAACTTGAGTAATACAATACAACTATCACCAATCACCTTCACTAGTTTGTTCACCTGAAGGCAATGTAAACTAAGTAACTGTTGTCCCACATTGACTACTGTGAACAAAATTTAGTTTGTCATCATCTGCAATTCATTGTTCACCAAGCACCACACATTCAACTGGATCAAAGCGACTGGAGAAGTGGGTCATACACTAAAATGTGACACGTAAGCATTTGTGGGTGAACAAAGGTCGACTGGCTGTTGCAAATGTCAAAGCACCAATAGTGTAGAAGAAGGCGATGATCCACATTTGGTGATGTATCACCAGCACACCAACATTCATCATCATGGAGTTACTTCCAACTAACACAACAATCATGAAAGAACTTTACTGCTAACAGCTGAATCATTTGAACAAGATCAAAGAGCTTTGTCCAAACATTGACAACATCTCATATCACCATGACAATGTTCCAGCACAGAGCAAAAACAGCCTTAGAGAAGCTGGCCATTCTAGGCTGGAAGGTTCTACCTCATTCAACTTACAGTTCAGACCAGACACTAACTGACTACCATCTATTTCACACCCTGCAGAACCATATTGCCAATATACAGTTCAATGATGATGATACATGTGTGAAAACAATGCTCGAGACTTTCTTCGAAAAAAACACCATCATTCTATGTTTGTGGGATAGAAAGTTTGCAAAAGAAGGCAGAGATGCAATTGATATTGATGGAAATTACCTACAAGACAGAACTGTATCATTATTGAATTAAATGCCAATTAAGTTTACTTTCAAAATGTCTAAATTTCACCTTTACAACCTGATATGTTAACAATGTAATGTTGTAACAGAGCTCAAGTTATCTAAATATGGATCTGTTTTCATATTATTGTTAAGTAATGTTTTGGTAATGAAATATTTGAATTAACCAAATATTTAAAAATTATTTCTCAAATACTTTCCTGGTCACTTATACCTGAGGATTAAAGTCTGGATCATTTTCATCATCGTCGTCGTCTTGATCGTTTGCTTCGCCTTCGTCGTCATCATCGTCGTCGTCTTCATCATCATACTATAAAAGACACTATACATTAAAGATACGTATCTACTTTGTTTAGGTGAAGATGTAATACAATAATAATTTATTTTTATTTATCAATGAATACTACATAGAATATAGAAAACTTCACAAATATCATTTATTATAGTACCAAAGTTTTATCACATGTTTTCAATATATCTATTAATCTTAGATACAATAGCACTGTTCTTTATATTTTCAGTTCAAGAATAAATTCAAATAAAGAAAAATTGTTCAAAGATAAAATTTTTGAAATGTAGTTTGTACATTTTTGGAATGTAGAAGTATACATTGATTCCATTCAAAATATAGATTACATTTATGTAAAGAACAATAGCAGCATATGGACTTCAAAGAATTTAACTTTGTCCATATTTTTTAGTAAAAAAAAATTGATCTAATCTCCAATAATGTTTAATTTAAATTATTTTTTATCTAAATTTTTCTAGAGATTATTGAAGTATATACTCAATAATTCTAAAGCTGAATTTTCTCTATATACAGGAAACATATTGAGAAGTGTTGTTGGCTCCATCACTTTCATCTTACAAATTTATAATAGAAATGCAAATTTTCTATATATAATAGTTCAGTTATAAAATCAGATACTGAAATAATACAATTAATAAAAATTATATAAACTATTAACTTTTTAATCTATTTTAAAAAATAGATTAAAAAGTTAATAGTTTTTAAATTGGAATCTTACATGTATATAATTTAAAATTTGTTCTGATAAATATAAATATTTATATTCTAGAATCTTCTATTTGTGAATCTGAACATTTGAAAATTTAAATAAATCACCGAGCTAAATTCCTCAGAGATTCAGATTGACCTAGAAATTAAGCATTTTCTAATAAATTTGTCATCAATTTTAATTTGTTCAAGAAGTCTTACATCTAGAATTGTGTTAATTATCCTTGTTTTAAAAAAATTTAATTCCTAAATCTGAAAAGTATTTTCATATAGAAAATGAAGCTTTTATTGTGCAGTACATTATCATTGTGCTTTTATTATGAAATTTACATCTACACATCCTCTTCATGTTATCTTTTTTTAATAGTAATATTGATCTAAGTTTTATATAATTCACTTAGTAGTTTAATAGAATGTACAAAAAGAAAACCATAAATAGAACACTATTTGTAACATACACAGCAATTTAAATTACAAATTTGTAGGTATGTAGTATACATATGCAACTATTACACAGACACATTTCAAATAAAAGTACCAGTCAAAGCTAGTTTAGAATGTCTATTTGAATAGAGAAATAGTGTCAAATATCTAACTGATTTAAGACAGAATTGGTTATCAAATAGACAAGAATACATTAAAACTAATCAAAATAATCCAGTACAAATGTAGAAAAAATAATATTTTTTGATACTTCCATGCAAATATATAATTATCATCAGAAGTTTATATATACAGTATATATATACACACACACACACACACACACACACACACACACACACACACACACACAACTGAAATATATTGAACAATGTCTCTCTCTTAAATTAGAGTATAAAAAAATAATGTTGTAGTAAATAAAAACAAAAACATTGTAAGGAATACATACACTTACATCATCTTCTGTTAAAGCTTCTCCCGTAAAGAAAAGTACAGCTCTAGGAACAATTCTTTCCCTTATAAAATGACCAATCTCAAAATCAACTGCTAACAAAGTTTGCGTTTCATCATCCTAAAAATGAAAAATAAGGTTAATATTCATGCATACAAAATTAGTATTAAAAGTTGGTTAACTACACAGAATAATTACTATATATACATATTAGTACACAGACAACATTTTAAACAAAAGTAACAATAAAAGCTGGATAGAATGTCTGACAAGAGAAATAAACCTAAGTTTTATTATTTTTACACAGATTAATAGCACATACAGCATGAGGATATCATGGAAATACAGCTAAATCAGTCAATTTGATGAGAAATTCAAAAAACTAGTAGGTGAAGAAAATCACCACTATTGAGTGTGATTGCATGTTAATGATGAAATAGTTATTCTGACTAATGATAAACATCCTTAAAATTATGAAAATTCACACCACACATGTTTAATTTTAAAGTAAGTTTACAGAAATATTAAAATTTAGAAACTCACCAATAATTCTTCATCTTCAGGAACTAAAAAATAAATTATTATAATAAAGTATTTATATAATATTTATTTAAACTAATGTTTAGCAACATTCATCATCATGGAGTTACTTCCAACTAANGTTTAGATAACTTACAAATTAAACATTGATAGATTATGATTGCAATTGATTTAATTAAGTTGAATATAAAATATTTTAAGTAAATATAACAAAATCAACAATTATTATAATTAAATTTTGTATAAAGATTAATGAATCAACATTCAACTTTAATGAATTTGCACATTGAGATACTATTATTCAACAAGCAATTATTTATTGAGTCATTAAAACTTGCAGCCTGGCCTTGTGACAATCATATTTTTTATTAATTTAATTTAAAAGATATGCTCTCCACCTCAAATTAGCATTGTAGTGTCTTTCCCCGGTACATCATACTTTTCCTTTAACAACAGTCATTCATCAATCATTCTTTTAAATTTAAACATATTCACAGTCATAATGATAAAGTAATAAAAATTTTATATATTTTTCTATTTGATTTGGAATATTTCTTCATAACTACTTTTTAATTTGTATAAAGTAATAAGAATGTTTTAATATTTGGTCTTTTGACAACTTTAAAATAATTCTCTAGAAATTGAATGTGTAAATTTGCTAAATTTTCTAGTATCTTAACTTTTCAGCAGTGGGTTAGTCATGTACTGTACTCCCTATGTAGTGGAGAATAAACGTGGAAAATTTAAGTATTTTTCCACAAGTTTTTTCTCATTACAGAATCTATTTCCAAAACAGTAAACAGTTATGTCTAGTATAGAAAAGTCTCTCTTTATTGTTACATAATTCCTTTTTTATGTGAATTTTTTTTTCCGGTAGTTTTTGGTGATATCCACAAAATAATTTTGCAATCAATCACTGCTGAGTGGTTAATATATATTTTTTATCATTTATTTCAATTACATATATATCCTTTTAATGCATTAATTTATGTCAAGTATATTGTGCCACATTTAAACATCTGAAGTTTAATTATATAACAATACTAGTCAAACTAGTGGATTTTTTAATGTACTTTTATATATAGAACATTAATTTAGCTTTTAAGATTTCCTATATAAATGACAAATATCTTAGTATTACTAGTAATAAAGATGTCATCTTGATAAACAAGTAATTTCTCTTATTTATTCTTACTTATTTAATACCTTTCATTCACAAGAAAAATTTCCTATTTTCTATCAAACTAAAAAATAAACTTGCTTTTGTATTTTTTTTATCATCTACAGCTCTGTCAAAAATTTTTTTATCATCTACAACTCTGTCTTACAATTTCAATCTTTTCTAACTTTCAGCATTAAAATTATAAAATTTTACATTATATCTGCTAATAATTTGTTAAGTATCCATGAATTTCCAGGGTTATGAATGACCTCGTCACATGCCATTTATACCCCAAAACACCAGTTGGATATCTGGGAAATCAGGACTCTGACACCACTTAGACAATTACTCAGACTAAGACAAAAATGAGAATTTTAACTAACTTCTGAAATTAACCTGTCCTACATTGATCCCAAAAATATTCGTGTTGACCTCATTCATCTGCGTGGGCAATCCTGAATATTTCCGTGTTTACATCGGAACGTTTTTTATACTAGATGTCACTTTGTGTCACAATTTTTATATTAAAACAAACTTTTAAAATAAATTTTTTTTGTTTTTATATTATTCAACATATATATTTTGTTTGTGAAACATAAAAAAATAATTTTTTATGATACAGTATACACGATTATTTTTAAAAAATTTAGACTTAACATCGATGAAAATTAAACATGGCGTCACAGGCAACAAATACAAATTTCAACATCGAATAGGTTAAGGAGAGAACTATTTCTATCATGGTAAGAGGATGGAGGCACATGACAATCAATTAAATTGATTAAAACATTAAGTAAAATTAGACAAAATCCTTATATTTAATTACAATGAAATATAAAATCAAAATAAAAATAATTAGATATTAAAGTTTCTATCAGATTACAAATCTCCTCTTATAAGAAGAAACTCAAATTTTTAATGCACTGACACTAATGCTTTACTGTTGAGAGACTTTATACTTTATATTGCCTTAAAATGTGAAAATAAATGGTTCATCTAAGACAAAATATTTCCATTTAATTGACAGACAAGAGATGACAGGTATCTTTAGTCCATTCTGGAGAGTGAATGGATGAGCTCAACTTGCCTCAAGGGAGGACAAGAACACTGTGGTTAGAGCTGTGAACTAAGCTGAGCTAGGCTAACCTGATCTGATGCTAGCTGTCATTTCGAGATGATCTATCCATTTTTATTAAATCTCTTCCAATCAGTTAAAATAAGCCCCCCCCAGTCTTCCAACGTGTGACAGAAGTTTGACAGTTTTGCAAATAGGACATGAAAAATACCAAACTATCACTTTTGAAGGAATCATATCATTTTCCTCCAACAGGAAGTTCCTTTTTCAATTTCACACATTTTAAAAAACAAGTAAAAATCTATCGAATAAAAATTAACAAAGTTTTGTTAATTTACTAACAAATTAAATCATCAACCATGGATTCTCACATATCTAATTAGCCTGTCATTTGACTATAAAATTACATCAAAATGCTTAGTAGTTTTTAAATATTTATTGTTTTAAGTAATTCAAACAAAATTCAGATGCATATGTTTATTTCACAATATTTCATATTGTATTAATATTTTATAAAAGATATCTGTGGCAGTGAATCAATTTCTGATAATCAGATGTAATTTTGAACCAAATTTTTTTCAACTTTTCTTTTAACTCCCTCTAATGTTGATGCTTTTTCATCCATCACTCTTCATTTCATTATTCCCCATACATTCTCTGTAGGATTTGTCTGGTAAATTGATATTACTGTCAATAAATTAAGTTTGGATTGACTTCATTGCAAGATCTTGTAGAAAAATAACATTCATCTGAATCAAGTTCTTCCAATCAAAGAATGAAGAAGTATTGTAACAACTGTTAATACCATGAGGAATTTAAGATACAGTAAGACTCCACTTAACGCTAATATATTAAAATAAGGGAAGCTCAAAATTTAAGCTTAGTTCACACTGAGTGTGATTCGCTGGTGAAAGCAAAAAACAGAGCAAATAACCCGTCAAACATGATTCATTTGACCAGTTATTCGCTCTGTTTTTTGCTTTTGCCAGTGAATCACACTCAGTGTGAACTAAGCTTTACTCTGATTTAAATTATCACAGCACTTTATTGATTCGTATATAATACGGTTATTTATGAACATGAACCAATCAGAAAAAGGTGGCAAAAACGTGTATTTTCTTTAAATCTATGTTTGTTTGGTGCAATTTTGGAAAAAATATAACATCATGGTTGCCACAGTCAGTATTGGCTTTGCTTGGCAAGAATTAACTGATAAATGCACGAACAAAGTGTGGAAGAAGTTATGGCTGAACGCATCCAAGAATTCTCAACGAGAAGAGTCTATCGCTGTATCGTTAGGTTGACCAAATTGTCAACCTAATTGATACAGCAAGACTAGGAGATGTAGACGAGCAGGATATTGAGGAGTTACCGCAGGTTTCTGGTGCAAGTCTTACCAACAACGACCTTCAAGAACTGACAGAACAAGAAATTCATTTAGAACTGGAAAGTAGAGATTCTGAAAACGAAGAACCCAAAAAATTTCTCTACGGATTTTCTTAGTAAAAGTTTGGTAACAATAACCAAAATTGTTAATCAAATTGTAGCGAATGATCCAGATTTTGAAAGGAGTGCAAAAGCAAAACGAGGCTTTTTGGATGCGATCTTCTGCTACCGACATTTGCTTAAGGAAAGAAAAAAGCGACAAATGAAAGTTTACGACTTTTTGCAAAAGAACAAGAATTTCAGAAAAGTTAGGACCTTCATCACAAAAAATAAACTGTACATTTCTTTATAGGTTCTGATATTATCTACTTATTTCTAAGACTTAGTTAGTCCTCTAGGCCTAGCAAAAATAGTGCCAGCAGCTGTGTGCGCATATGTTTGTTATTTAACATATACAGTAGAGCAGTGTTTTTCAACCTTCTTGAACACGCGACCCCTTTACAAGTTAAAAAAATTCTGGCGACCCCCCTAGGGCCATATTAAAACTACAGTAGAACCTCGATTATCCGGACTAATTGGGGATGAAGTTAGTCCGGATAAGGAAAAATCCGGATAATTGAAACAAATACTTTAATTTGTCTTTTAATGATAATACAGCACGTTTTCTTTTCGATGACATATCGGTAATATTAAAAGTAAATACTGTATTTAAATAGTGATCAAATTTTCAAGAAACAAACGTTCATATCAAATTTGGACTACTAGTGACCAACGCTAACAGACTACCTATTGTTTAAAAGGCCCTCTGGTGGCGCAAAAAGACGGATTTTATAAAATAAAAAGCAGTTGAAACTGCATTTTTATGAATAAAAATTTGACAAACTAT